AAGCAAAAAAATTGCGAATTGGCGGTTAAAAATGATCATTAGACATATTCACTTCAACTTATCAGATATTTTAATAATAAGTACAAATTTTGTTTGCATTTCTAAGGGTTACGTACTAAGATTTATAATGTTCAGCGCGGCGCTTACGCGCTTCGTCTGTATAACAACTATGCAGCACAATTGTTTTGAAAAAAAAAATCAAATTTAAAAAAAATTCAAAATATGAAATAAATTCAAATGCTTTTTAAAAAGGTCAAAGTTAAAAAAAAATCAAAATATTCAAAGATATTTTAAAAAGTTTTCAAAAAATTGTAAAGTGTTAGCGATATATAGATGGCGTTGGCATATGGATAACATAACAAAAGAAAAATGAGTCCAATTAAATTATATCTTGTGGGAGATAATTAGTGATATAGAGATGAATATTGTAGAGAGTGTAATTAGAGACAATGAAAGAGTAATTAGATATGAGGTGCGTTAATAGAGATAAACGACGTTAACAAAAGTTTTTAAAAATTTAATTTATGGTACAAGAAGTTCCAGCAATTTGGCTTAAGGCACGATGCCATGCACCCCACTAGTTTTTTTTTTTTTTTTTGAGAAAAATCGATCAAGACTCTCACATTATTTATAGTGTGATTGTTTTCTTCGCTAATGTTATGCAGTGTTATGTGTGTTATGTTTGCTGATGAAAAAGAAAGTAATTGTGGGTGGGTGCATGATATACATATATACATAGATACATAAATACATACATATATATATATATATATATATATATATATATATATAAATTAATATATCTATATCATGTTGCACATGGTCAACTCGGACAATAACTGGAAAATTTTGCATAATAATTATCTGCATTTAGATTGGATTGGCAAGAAAGTATTATCGGTTCTCAAATATAGATGGCGTTATAGACTTCTGTCGCGATATGATCTATCCTATTGATTTATCATAATCTATCAATATATCGTGATAAATTAGAATCTATTATGATATAATGTGTTCTATCGTGATTTAACCTGAAACATCTATGATTCCCCTAGAGAAGCCTATTCTGCAAACAGAGTGCCATCTACACTCGTAGACGTAAAATAGAAGTAGAAAAGATAAAGACGTAGTCGAAAATGAAATAGAAAGACTGAAAGAAATGGGAAGAAGAAGAATGCAGATGGTTGACAACTTACGTGAGAAGAGTAAATGCAGGGAAGTGAAAGCCGAAGAACAGGATCAGGAAGCATGAAAGCAAATGTTTGGAAAGAAAAATGCCTGAGAAAAGGGAGAGGAGGGAATAGTGGTAATGGGCATGATAGAAGAGGTAAAGAAATCACTTATTTGTGATGGCTCTCACACAATGGACCTGCCTTCGGGTAGACCACCATTATTATTATTATTATTTTTATCTGTGATTTGAAATGATCTAATGTTATCTCTCATTATTTGTTATGGTTTATGAATACTTAATATGATCTATCAATATATTACATTGATTCCTTTAGGAAAATTCGCCGATCAAATAGAAATGTACCATAGCGTTGTTATTGCTGTGAAGTGAGGCGTTTCACATATAAAATATAATCTAAAAAGCGCACAAAGGTCAAACGCATAATGTTATCATAAGTGCATCTTTCTAATATGCCCTTGATTACACAACACATACGTGAAGTTAAGTTCTATATCTAATATAGAACACCTGATTGCACAGCAAATACACAGTTATTAGGAGGCCGTCCATTAATCACGTGAGGTTTTTAGGAGTAGGGGGGGGGGGGGTTGACAGAAAATCACGAAATAGCACATGAGGGAGGAAGGGGTATAGTAAGATATCACATGTATTTATTTTTTAACTGATTTTTTTTTTAATCAAACATTTAAAACAAAAATTCAAAAATTTTACAGTTTTATCATGTAACTAAAAATACACGTGATGTTTGGTGGAGGAAAGGGGGTAATTTTGAATATCACCATGTATCACCAAGGGGGAGGAGGTGTCCACAAATCTTTGAAAACTAGCTCACGTGATTAGTGGATGCCCCCTAAGCGAGTGTTGCCAAAAAATGTCTATTTTATTGGAGAACTGGCCCCATGGATACAAAATAGACCAAGAAGCAATTAACTGACCTTCAAAATTGCATTTATTTGATTCAGAATGAAATAAAATGAAAAATGAAATAAAAAAAAATTTAAAAAAATTTAAAAAAAAATAAAAAAAATGCCTTGAAACGTCGAAAGAACATGAATTTGCCTGTCGATTTTTCTGGCGAAAACGTGGTTTCTCTTGCGGGAATTTATGTTATTATCAAGGTATAAGGGGTGTATTCTCAAACCATGGATCTGCCTAATTCGTCTTATCCTTCATTTTCAATCAATCAGTCACAATGTACATGAACGTCATTACAGATTCAAAAATAGTACGAGGCATAATTTACAAATCAATCAATGCCACAAACATAAATCTACACAGATACACATTTATATATATATATATATATATATATATATATATATATATATATGTATGTATATGCATAACATGTAGTGTGTGTAAATACATTATTCATTTCTATTTTCATCGTCTTTGTTATGTAAGAAAATGTAAACATGGCGTTACGTCGACACCCAATGTATGATATAAGTAATTATAAATTTATAATATTATGTTATATATATATATATATATATATATACTAGATGACCCGACAAACGTTGTCCTGTTCCCGCGTATACAATGCAAAAGTTCCAAATTTTTTAACATCCTATTTAATGTCCTGCCTTTGTGATTTATTTATGGTCTTATCATAAGCATTATAAGAAATTCAGAAAAAAATAATATAGTATCTGCGTTAAAAGAACAATATCACACTTGATTTTAACACACGGCATATTTGCTTCAATAATTTAGTCTATAATTTTCATAATCCCGTACGATATATTAGTTGCTTTTTGGCAATAACAATTTTTAAAGTACATTTTTCTTACTAATAATTTAATAAACATTATTGTTCATGTTCAAGTCTTAGGTGACCTAATTTGTAAAATATACTTCATATGTGCACTACTCAATCTAAGATCAACTAAATATTCCATATCCAATGCCAAACAAATGAATTTTTGACACATGAAACAAAATTCTAAACAATTTTTATAATAAATAGAAATATTTTTTGTATCGTTAAATAATTTAGTAAAATAAACCAAAATGCGATATGTATAAGTTTAAAAAAAAAGGTATATGCAATTTTGGACTGTTTACTTTACTTTTTAAAATGATTTCCATAATTTCATCTGCCACATCATTTACTGATGACTGTAACTTATATTATTCTAATTTATGGCACATCTCAGCTGCTTTTTGGATTATATTACATTTTTCTTATATATTATATTCTAATATTATATAGGTTCATAATTTCAGCTAAATTCAAATTTCAAGTGAATTGACATTTCTAGCAGATGATGGTTCAAATAGTTTCAATGCCAAACAATAAGTGTTTTTTGTAATTTTTGCCATTTATTTCTACAATATTACTATATATTTATCGTTTATGAAATCTTAAAAATTTTCTTTGACAAATTCTAAAAAGAATGATCAAAATCCGAATAACCGCTTAAGAAAAGTGTCAAATCATACACCCGTACAGAATTTTATATATAAGATATATACTGAGAATTTATTAAATAATCAATGGTATTGTAAAGATAATTTTGTTCGACTTCAACAATGATTATCAAATTGCCTTCGTCCAGGCGCATTTATTTAAACTTAAACTAGTGATCATGACAAAGAAAATGTTTAATATAATTAATACAGGGTGTCACAAAACTTAACGTCTAGCCGAAGCTGGGCGAAAGTACTGATTTATTAACTATCCTAAAAATTTTTGATAAAACTAGTGGGTAATGGCATCGTGCGTTAAGGCAAACTCCTAAAACTTCCCGTACCATAAATTAGCATTAAAAAAAACTAAAATTTATTGAAAACTTTGAAAAAAAAGAGATTTTGAATAATTTAAATTTTTTGAAAAGTTTAGCTGGTTAGAAAAATGATTTTTTTTATATTTCGATTTTTTTTTTGAAAATTTTGAACTTTTTCCAAAGCAATTGTGCTGCATGGCTGTTTGAGAAAAAAGAAAATTATAAATTGAGAAAAAAATGTTATCATTACTGCATATTTCTAATGTGTCTTTCATTTGTGTTTTAAACACATACCTGAAGTTAGATTCATATAAACTCGTAGTGAAAACTGTCAAAATGCTGCGTATCAGTTGTGCAGTCAGGCGTTTTAGATATAAAACCTAACCTTGAAAACCCACAAACCCACGTCTAAAGAAGAATGTTATCATTACTGCTGCATTTTTCTGATGTATCGTGATAACACATACGTAAAAGTTAGGTTTTATGTGTCAAACGTCTGATCGCAGAGCAAATACATAGCATTTTGACAGTTTTTACTACCAATTTATATAAAGAAAGAAGCTTAGCATAGCGTTGCCATGACAACGATATGTTATGGTCCATTTTATCAGAGATTGGCCACTAGATCTCAACAGGAACTTATTATTTTGATTATAGGTGCTTTAGAAATTTGTTGATAATTCCAACTAAGTATTTCCTCGTAAGACCAGATTTGATACCAAATATATAGTGGTATTGCATAATTCTCCAGTTCTTAAACAAATCTACCCCAAACCCTCAATGTTGCCGAATTCAATAGTTGCCACCAAATATTTTACCAGAAACGACTGGCATTTAAAACCATACGCCTATAGCCAAATTTATTCTCTCAATAATTCAGTATATATTTATAGGCCTATTCCTGGATAACTTTTCTGTATTATCTGCCTGCAGTATAATATAAGATAATATGAACACAAAAGAAGTCAATTGCATATATGTTGTCCGCTTGATTTCACCAGGATAAAATTATTTCATCTTACAATAAGTAAGTGGTAAACTATTAGAAAAAGTTTATCCAAAACCAGGTCTATTGTTTTGTAATTAAAAAAAAAGACTCACCGAAATAATTCAGGGTCTCCCTGATCTGATCAGGCGATAGTTTCTCGTGAGCGTCACTAGGTGGAAGCGCTGGACTGGGTATGAACCAGTCCTGATTTTCGTATCCTGAAAGGAAGAAATAAATATTTATATGTTTGTTTTGTATATATATGATTGTTTTAGGTTAGTTCCTAAACTTACCGGCGAATTCGGTGAGAGCGTCCGATCTCAATTTGTATCTCGGGATCTGTTCTTCGAGGAGACTGAAGATCTCGACTTCTGGCAGATGTTCGGAACCGCACACGTCTGAAAAAAATAGAAAAATAAATATTAACAAAGTAAAGTATTAATTCATTAATTCAATTGTTATAAACTCAGATTTTTTCAAAATTATCCTAATCATTCCAAAAGTATCCAAATGCATCCAAAGCCATCAAAATCCACCCAAAACCATTCTAATCATTCCAAATGTATCCAAAATCATCCTAATAATTTCAAATACACCCAAAAAGATCCCATTTCAGATCCATCGAAAACCATCCTGATTATTCGAAATACGCCCAAAACCACCAAAATTCATCCAAAACCATGCTAATCATTCCAATACTCATCTAAGTCCATTCCAAACCATCCCAAATGATCCAAGTTCATCCAAAACGATCCAGGTTCATCCAAAACCGTCCTAATCATTCCAAATGTATCCAAAACTATCCTAAATATTCCAAATGTATCCAAAACCATCAGAATGCATCCAAAACCATCAGAATGCATCCAAACCATCCTAATAATTCCAAATGCATCCAAAACTATCCTAATAATTCCAAATGCATCCAAAACGATTCCATTGCATCCAGATGCATTTAAAAACCAACCTAATCATTCCAAATGCATCCAAGTCCATCCAAAACCATCTTAATCAGCCAAAACGAACCAGGTTCATTCGAAACAATTCTAATCATCATCCTAATCGTTTATAATATATTCAAATCCATCCAAAACCATCCTAATAATTCCTAATGCACCCAAATATTCAATTTCATCCAGACCCATCCATAACCATCCTAATCATTCGAAATACATCCATCCAAAACCATCTTAATCATTCCAAACGCACCTGAGTCCATCCAAAACCATCCTAATCATTCAAAAACGATCCAAAATCATCCAAAACGATGCAAGTTCATCCAAAATCATGATCATTCATGTACCAAAACTATTCTAATCATTCCAAATGCAACCAACACCATCAAAATTCATCAGAAATCATCCTAGTCCATCCGAAAACATCCTTATAATTCCAAATGCATCCAGAACGATTCTATTTCATTCAGATCTATCCAAAACCATCAAAATCAATCGAAATACACTGAAAACAATCCAAATCCTTCTAAAATCATCCTAATCATTCGATACCATCCTAATCATTAGAAATTCATCGAAATTCATCCAAAACGATTCAAGTTCACTCAGAACGATCCAGGTTCACCCAATACCATCCTAATGATTCCAAATGCATCCAAAACCATCCTAATTACTCAAAATCCATCCAAATTAATCCAAACGATCCAAGTTTATCCAAAACAATCTAGGTTCATCCAAACCATACTTATCATTCCAAATGCATTCAAAACTATCCAAAACCATTCATATTCATCCAAAATAATATCAGGCTGTCAGAGGCAGGTATCAAACCAGAGATCTCTGATAAGAAGTCCAAAACTCTAACCACTGCCATGGCTTAGTGGTTAGAGCTATGGACTTCCAATTTGGAGACCTATGAGGGAAATAAGAGTGTATGAAGATAAAATATTTTAATTTCACTTCCATTGGCTAGGAGTTCAGTTCGGGAAGCGACCAATAGGTTGTGGATTACAATAATCAAATGCACCAATATTCTTTGGTTTAAGGATTTGGAAAAAATTCAATTAAATCATTCATTTAGTTAGATAAAATTCATTCTTCATACAATCCAAGCCATCTAAAACCATCTGCATTTATCCAAAAACAAATTATTTGGTTTAGGAATTTTCAAAAAAACATATCAGTATAAATACGAATTTAAATTATCCAGAGCGGGTGGCGAAGACGACGATACGTATATATGTATACATATGTTTATATTTTTGTCTCGACAAATGTGACATTTCACATCCGGCCGAGTGTAGAATGAAAATGAGAAAAGATTTGTTGGCATGTGTTCAAGTTAAGAAAATAAAATTTATTATGACTTCGAAACTAAAATAGTAATAATAATTCGCATCTGCATCTGCAACATGTGTTAAAAATTTAAACCAGATTTTCACCACAGAGCACCAATGGAGCACCACATTCCAGTGATGATCAACCTATTACCATCGAACTTAAATAGATTTGATTTTAATTTTATCACGCAGAAGGAATAAACTTCATTAAATTTCGATGTTTCCATTTTCGGAAAAATATCGTTTTTCCTGGTAATGTTTTCTAAATATTCGACAGGCGTCATGAACTTGTTAAACTAGGTTTGAACTCTTGCTATGGCAAGCTGGAATACATTGTTTACAGAAAAACAACGATACACACCACTAATAATATGAAAATATCATAAATAGATATTTAAATACAATGAAGATAATTAGTGTGAGAACGCTACTTTCATCTTCACAAGCTTTGTATCTCTATCTACTTTTTTTCTATCCCTTTTTACTTTCCTTCTATCTCTATACTTGCTTTCTATCTCTTTTTTCTTATATCTCTCTTTACTTCCCTTATATATCTTTACTTCCTCTCTATCTCTTTACTTCCTTTCTATCTCCTAACATCATTTCTATCTCTATACTTCCTGTCTATCTCTTTACATCCAGTCCATCTCTTTACATCCAGTCCATCTCTTTACATCCTGTCCATCTCTTTACATCCTGTCCATCTCTTTACATCCTTTCTATCTCTATACTTCCTTTCTATCTCTATACTTCCTGTCTATCTCTACATTCCTGTCTATCTCTCATTTCCTGTCTATCTCTACATTTCCTGTCTATCTCTATACTTCCTGTCTATCTCTATACTTCCTGTCTATCTCTATACTTCCTGTCTATCTCTATACTTCTTTTCTATCTCTTTTTACTTTTATCTCTTTACTTCCTTTCTATCTCTATACTTCCGGTCTATCTCTATACTTTCGGATCTATCTCTATACTTCCTGTCTATCTCTTTACTTCCTTTCTATCTTTTTGCTTTCTCTTTTCATCTCTTCCTCATTTTCATTAGCATTACTACCCCCCACCCACTTTTATTGTTTATCTTAATTTAATATTAATTATAGATTAATATATATAGACTATTTTTATCATATTTGCTCCATCTGAAGACAGGTCCATAATGCAAAAGTACCACATCTTAAATAAGTAATAATGATAATACTAATAATAATGTTAATGACAAAGACATTTGTTATTTGATTAGATTAATAATTGTGTTTAATTTTATCATCTTTTACCTTTAGATTTTATGGTATCCTCAATAACAAAATTACTGATCAAGTTCTCTTTGGATTTCAGGAGCTGCTTGGCCCTCTGTCGGGCCGTTAAGGGACTCGACTGCATTTCAATTCATGAAGCTTAGCATAATTGACACATAATATTTTTTGCACTTCATTTCAAAAACAAACTAAATTAAATTGGATACACTTTAACTTGGTTCAGTTATTAATAAACCAAACAGGAGCTATTTATTTAGTATGCTAAGTTGTGACGTACAGTCGCTTGCGGCGCTGGCATCGCCTTATCAAGTTATAAACCCTGACCAATCAAATTGAACTTGCATATTATTTATATTTGCGCATAATGTTTAAACGAATAGAATTGATATAATTAAAATATTTGCTGTGTCCTGAAAGACAGACATTATTAACTTCATATTAAATATTGTTACCAATATTATTTTCTTATTATTATTATCATATTACAGTATTACTATTATGTTTAGTTACTGAAATCACAACCGAAAAAAAACTCCAGTATATATTTTAATCTTTAAAAGCATCACTCGAAATTCCAGACTAACTATAATGTCTTTTTAAATTACTCGGATACAATATCGTCCTATTTTTAACTAAATGAATTAACTCTCGAAAATATTCAAAAATAAAAAAGAGAGTTTCGACTGACACGCGCCAGTCTAGTTTATTTTCGAGTCGGGAATAAAAATACGACATAATTCATATCAGATAAAAGAAAGGAGGTAGACGTAGAGCCAACGACTGCCTAGATTAATAGACCAATTCTGCCTCATAACAGACCAATGTTATGGCAGGCTATGTTATGAAGACTTTCCATACTAAATATTGACAAACCTACGTGATTGCTTGCTGTGCAGTCAGGCGTTTTTTCTCAGGTTGTCAGATAGATAGAGAACTTAACCTAGAAACCGCACAAATGTCAAATAACGATCTTAAATAACAGCGCCTTTCTGACCCCTTCATAACATACGAGTGACGTTGCAGTTCAAGTGTAAACCGCCTGAATGCACAGCAAATATATGACATTTTAACAGTATTCAGTATGATTCAGTAGCATAATGAATGGAAGTTGGAGCGTAACATGGCCTTGCCATAACATTGGTCAGTTATGCGGCAGATTTATTGAATTTACTGAATTTATTTATTATTTTCAAACTGGACCAGCGATGGTTTGAGTTGAAATCTAAACTGATTTTGAAAGGTTTTTAAGAGAACTCGTATGGGGCCATTCAAGTATTACATAAGCACTATAGGGGGGCGGGGGGTTATTGATTTGCTTATTTTGCTTATTTTTCGTAAGATATTGCTTACTTTTGCTGACAAAGGGAGGGGAGGAGTAAATAATTGTAATAAATCTGCTTACGTAATACTTGAACGATCCCTATGAAGTTAGCTTTTTAGCACAGCATACTACCTAAAAATTATCAAATATTCGAACCATGGCTTATCCTGACAAATGCGATTGAAAATCATTCAGATTGATTGTTTTGTTCGGAGCAGGTATAAA